GTTTTTTAAATGGAAACATTCACACTAAAGTCTGTATTTCTAACCTCTATTGAAATAACAAAAGGGCTGGCCATTTCTGCTTTACATGATAACACCACATGTCTGGAACTAGAGTGAGAAAAGAGACAGGCCAAAAATATATAAGCCTGGACATCCCTCTAAGGAGATGGTTCAGAGCTACAATGAATTTGCAAAAGGTCCATGACCCAAAGAGAGATTAAAGCCTTGAAACAGCCCCTCTTCCTTCCCCAACATTTTATCATCTTCTAAGTGTTTTGCCCTCTGCTCGCCCCACATCTGTAGTTTGGCAAAGATCTGAATTTCACTCCTTTAATCTCTTTTCAGTCACTCCCTCCAGCCCTTAATCACTTTTATGACTCTTTCCTAAAAGCCTCCAATTTGTCCAAATCCAACTGTGAAGTCCTGCATTTCTTTTCCCTGGAAAGATGTAACACAGTTTAGAATTACTAAGCAAGGGTTCACCTAAAAGCTTTTAGAAGAAATATCCAAGATTTGACATGTTAAATTAATTTTCACATGCAGCTGCTCAATTCAGAAAGGAAAATGCAGGGCATTCCGGAGAACGGAAGGCACTGGGATATTGCATAGAGATATTTCCTTTGCCTGATTGTGTACTGAACTGACAGGCAAATGGGTCAAGAGAGATTTGCTCCATTAGCCATCTTGAATATCCTGAAAACAGAAGAAGAATGGAAACTACCCATAGCTCAGAACACATGACTACCATCATTTCTGACTATACACACACACAACTCAAAACACCCTACACACACACACACACACACACACACACACAGGCCCATGTACATAAATTTGCAATCAGCCAATCAGCCAAACCTGCCCTACTCAATCTTGAAGCTTCTTGTAGTCACATCAAAGCATCACACAAGGCTGGGCACGGTGGCTCATGCCTGTAAACCCAGCACTTTGGGAAGCCAAGATGAGTGGATCACTTGTGGTTAGGAGTTTGAGACCAGCCTGGCCAATATGGTGAAACCCTGTCTGTACTAAAAATACAAAAATTAGCCGGGCGTGGTGGCGCTCGTCTGTAATCCCAGCTACTCCGGAGGCTGCAGGGGGAGAATCACTTGAACCTGGAAGGTGGAGGCTGCAGTGAACGGAGACTGTGCCACTGCACTCTAGCCTGGGTGACAGAGAGAGACCCTGTCTCCAAAAAAAAAAAAAACAAAAACAAAAACAAAAACACACACACACACACACACACAAACAAGCAAACCCTCAAACAAAGCATCGCACAGTATGATCTGACTGGAGGTAGATCTGACTGGAGGTAGTCACAATACATAAATAAATTCCTATCAGATAAGAATTCATTTAAATTCCTCTCAAAGCTTTTCAAGAGGCAGAAAAACCTGTTCTTCAGCGATACCCTCCCCTGGATTAATGACTTGGGTTACCCTGTTTATCACAAATTAAGGTAACTTAGTAGTTGGATTGATAATAGCTCTTCCTCCTCAAATTGCTTCACTATGGGGTTTCTGCTTCATTTTTTGTTTTGTTTTTGTTTTCTTTTGAATATGTAGAGTTTGGGGTCACACATCAACCCCCAAACCTCCTGGAAGCAGAGTAGGCATCAGGGCCTTGGGCAAAGCAAGGCTCAAAGAGAATCTGAGTCAACGCTCTGGGAACCGCTGAGAAGCGGGGTTCTGCTTCTCTGCCCTGGAGTCTCAGACCGTGTGGGAGGAGCCCTTCATTTGACCATCCCCAGCAATCATACTGGAGGGATGAGGCCTCAGGAGTGCCTGTATTTGTGATACAATTCTAGAACTTTCCATGTGTGCACCTCGAGTTTCTTGTGCCCTACCTGACAGTGTTGTGAAGAAATAAAAAATAAAAATAATTTATAGAAGATTCTACAGTGTTTGAAATATGTTCCAGCAGGTAAGCACAAGGGTCTTCTAATTCCACAGCTACCAGCCCTAAAGTCTCCAATGCCTATTGTTTGTTACTATCGGAATTTTCCTGGAGTTGCTTTTCCTTCACACATCCTTGGGGTTGTTAATATTTGGAGTCTCTGGGGAGTGGTCTCTAACAGCCATAATTCAGCCAAGACTGTCTAAACTGAGAGGGTCTTTAAGATCTAGGGGTTCTCTTCACTGGGCCTTCCAAATGACCCCTAAGCTGATTATAATACTTATCTACAAAAATGCCTCCAAAGGCTCCCACTGCTCCTCAGACAAATGCAAACTCTTTCACACAGCCTGGTGTGGCCCGGCCCTGCTGCCTACCTCCCATCTTGCCACTGCCATTCTCCCTCATCCACACGGCCTTCTTTCTGAGGTTCATATTTGCCACGCTCCATCCTTCTGCAGAGCCTCTGTATACAGCATCCCGCCCCTCCCCTACGGTGCCTCTTCCTCCCTTTCACTTGCTCTTAACTCTTAGTCTTCCTTTCTATCTCAGTGTATGTACCACTCAGCCTGGAGAACCTGGCCTCTCCCACCAAGATTAACTCCACCTAATAAAGGTTCACAGCACAGTCCATTCCTCATTCTCCCATGAGCATGCCACATCACTGCAATTTTGCATGTGCTTGTATAATGACATGATTAATATCTGTCCCTTGCATTGGATATTAAGCTCTGCGAGGATAGGACCATGTCTGTTTTTGTTCACTCATATCATCATTGGTACAGAAGAGGTTTAATGAATATCAGATGGACATGCAGATGGAGGCATGAATACGCCGTCTCAGCAGAACTGTCTTCTTCCCTGCCCTAGTTTGCATACCTTATCCTCTCCAGTTTTCACCTCTGGCCATATGTTTCCTCTGCCCAGAAGTTCCTTTCCCCCAACTGTCACCTGTTTTCTTCAGAGGTCTGCCTCCCCTACTATGAGGAACAAACCTTGTGCACCTTCCTGGATTCCTTAAAGCATTGCCTTTATTTCTCTTTCTTTTGATTGGCACCCTCACTTTCACTGGGTCACCACTCTGTTTTGCATTGACCAGAATGCCACACCATGGAGCTTCCTGAGAAGTCTCTGAGGGGTGGAGGATGACAACTTCAAGTGAAGTAGCATTAGCGGCTCATGGGACAAAATTTTGCTGATGTTAAAAGGGAGAAGTGAGGGAGGCTGGCAGATACATCCACCCCTCTTTCTCTCTTCTATGGGCTTTTTCAACATGTGGCCCCTCCTTGTGATCCTCCTGTATTAGTTGCAGAAGAGACAGATGTGGTTCTTCAGGCTTGCCGGAAGGCATCAGTCAGCACAATAAAGTATCCCAGTGCGTTCACTGTATCTTCCCCTGTCTCACTTCTCTTTTCCCTCACTCTCGCCGCTGGGCTGTGTCTTCCGAATAAATTGTTAGCATCTTAATTTTTTTCTCAGACTCTGCTCTCTTGAGCATCCAGGCAGATATCCTGTGATACCCCAGGTCCCCTCAAGAGCACAACTGCATTTATTATCCAAGCACACAATCCAGTAGTTTGAGAAGGGTTTCTCTCTAAATATCCTGTGAAAGGATGAGGCTATTGGAAACTTGGCCTGGACTAACAGAAGGAAACTCATAATGCCTCTGCTTGAATCTGCTCTAGTCAGAACCCACCATCAGTAGCACTGATTTTAATTCTGAGAAGTCTAATTTAAAACTGTGTTTCTCAACATTTTCAAATGATGGACCGCTTAAAGAATCTGATGGGGGCTATGAACCCCTCTTCCCAGAAAAAATGCATATATGCATCTGTTCACTGTCAGTTTAGGGGGTTCTCAGGACCTCTGAAGCCCCATTCGTAGATTTCGTATTAGGAAACACAATCAATGGGCAGTGACAGGTAGAGCAGTTGACACCAGGTTTCATAGGGAACAGCGGAAAGAACAAATTCAATACAAATCAGGGGTGGAAGACGTGAAAGTTTGTGTATTTGAAGGCATGTCAAGTGGAAAAGCCATTAAATGTTTGTTCCTATAGTATCTCCTCTTCTGGGGGTGACTTCTCTAATTTCCACAGAAAGGTTTTGCTGTCCTAGCCTCATGAGTATGCTGTAATTCTTACTTATAAAATACTACCAGTCTTGGCCGGGCACCGTGCTCATGCTTGTAATCCCAGCACTTTGGGAAGCCAAGGCAGGTGGATCACTTGAGCCCAGGGGTTCAAAACCAATGTGGCCAACATGGTGAAATCTCATCTCTACTAAAAATACAAAAATTAGCCAGGTGTGGTGGTAGGTGCCTGTAATCCCAGCTACTTGGGAGGCTAAGGCAGGAGAATCCCAGCTACTTGAGAGGCTAAGGCAGGAGCCCAGGAGTTCAAAACCAGTGGGGCCAACATGGTGAAACCTTGTCTCTACTAAAAATAAAAAAAGTAGCCAGGTGTGGTGGTGGGTGCCTGTAATCCCAGCTACTTGGGAGGCTAAGGCAGGAGGTGGAAAGCGCAGTGAGCCAAGATCACGCCACTGCACTCCAGCCTGGGTGACGGGGGAGGCTCTGTTTCAAAAAAAACAAAAAACAAAAAACAAAAAAAACCCCAAAAAACAAAACACACACACACACACACACACACAAACAAAAACGAAAAAGCAAAACAAAACAAAGAAAACCTAGTCTTTCATCTAAAGGGCCAGATAGAGGTTCCACTTTGGACAGAAATGTCAAAAAAGACAGTGCCCAAAGACCTCACCCCCATTCTTGTTTTCTTTCTTCTTCATAAAAGTCATTCTGAGCTTGTACGCCATACAGAAACTGGCAGGAGGCTGGCTTCAGGCCATAGTTTGCCATCCTCTGCATTAAGCTGAAGCCACTGATGAACCAGTCCATCTCCCCCATCATACTACAAGCTCCTCTGAGGCAGAAGTCATCATTTATTTTGCCCTGGGTCCCCAGTTCTAACACAGTGATAAGTACACAGTCGAAGGTTAATATATGTATGTTAGATGAAAGAATCCACCACAAAGACCTCCCTTATCATGCAGTTTGAACTGATCTCATCTCATCTCTCAGGACCTGCTGACCACACTTACCCAATTATGTGGAGTGCTGTGGCTGTCCGCTGACTTGAGAGGCTTAACAAAAAAACCAGAGAATCCTTTCTTTGCCAATTTTCAGGTTGTTTTTTGAGTTTCTGATGTGAAAAGCATAAAATAACCACTCACTGCTTATTTCCATAGCTAGCCTTTTAAAAGTAATATTCGAAGTGGGGATGATGCCAAGAAATCTGTTAAATATTCTTGTGCAGCTGTTCACATCTTAGCATTTAATTAGTTATAATTGCAATTTAAAAACAATTAAACTCTGTGGGAGTTATTTACTGCATCTCGTGGTGATTCTGTCTTTATGCTCCTCAGAGGAGACAATTGGAAGGAGAGATCTGCTGAGATTGATAAGACAAGTTATTGTCACCCATAGTTAATTTCCCTTGTCATTGTTTTAGGGTGACGGAGGTGTGACGATTTTTTGTTGTTGTTGTTGTTGTTGTTTTGCATCACATGTTACAATTTTAGAACACAAATTTCTAAACTTTTCAAATGGTATAGTCAAAACATGGTGTAGATCTGTAGTTTTCTCTCACATCCTCAGCATAGGAAGACCAAGAAGAACCACCATTTCTCACCAAAGGTCCCTGCCCAGATCATAAACTCATTGTCTTAAAGTTGGAACTAAAATTTACATACAATGACCCAAGAAGCTGAGATGGAAAAACAAAGGGGAATTCGAGTGTGCTAATGGTCTCATCTTGTACAAATAGAAACTACCAATTAAATTAAACTTGCCTGGGAAATAAGTGGATTTATGCATCTTTTTAAAAGTGTAGTCCATACATGTAATATCGTAGATGGGATCATGGGGGAAATAATGGACAAAAGGAAAAGATCTAAGGAGATCTGAATAAATATGGACGTTAACTAATAATAACGTATCATTATTGTCTCATTAATTGTGAAAAATGTACCATACTGATGTAAGATGTGAATAGCAGAAACTGAGTGTGGGGTATATGTGAAGTCTTCGTACTATCTTTTCAACTTCTCCATACATCTATAACTATTCTAAAGTAAAAAGTTTATTAATTTCTAAAACTAAGGGTATTCCCTAAAGAATACAATTAACATATGTAGCTTGTAATCAGATGAAGAAGGAAAAAGTAGGTTTAAGAAAATATTTAGTTAAGAGGTCAGGAAACCAGGTGTAGTGGCATGCCCTTGTAGTCCCAGCTGCTCGGGGGGCTAAGAAGGGAGGATCACTTGAGACCAGGAGTTCAAGGCCAGCCTGGGCAAAATAGTGAGACCCTATCTCTAAAATTAAAACATTTATTTTAAAAAAAGACAGGAAATAAGAAAAAGTTGTCTATGGGGGGAGAGGTTGATAAGCATTATACACAACACACACAAAAGAAAGTGGCAAAAGCAAGGTTTGTATTTTAAGGATGCAGTATCTCCTATCCTGTTCCCCTACTTTAATATTTGGCTGGCACTCTCCAATTCCCTTCTCATTCAAAACTTCTTTCACTCGTATCCCAGACCCCTTATCAGTGATTTGTGATTCAATCAACCAATGAACAAATATTCACTGAGCCCCTGGTGCTGGTGTAAGATCCTCAGTAAATGCTACATGACCCCATTCCTGGAAAAAAGCAAGGCAGCTGCCCCATGGGTCTTCCTCAGGGGCACCTCCCAAGCCCGGTGCAGTGCTGGCTGCACCCGGCTGGCACTCAATACACATTTGTCCAGATTGTCTCCCCCGCCTGGGTCTGCACCCTGGCTGCGTGATGAAATCACCTGGGGAACTTTTAATAAACGCCAATGCCCAGAGCCACGCCAAACAAGATTCTAATTTAACTCGTCTTAAGTGAAGTTAGCCAGAACACCAGTATTTTTTAAAAGCTGAGCAGAAGTTTTTAATACACAGCAGGGTTTCTTATACAGGAATCCATAAGGTAAGTGATAGCAGACTAAGTCTCGATGTTATCAGTTAACGATTATAACAGTACAGGTGTGACAGTTCTAAATTAGTACTATGGTCTCTCCAGCAGCTACCAACTCACTGTGCAGACAAGACTGGAGTTACGCAGCTGCAAACCAGGGAGCACCAAAGACTGCCAGCAAGCCACCAGAAGCTGGAAAGAGGAGAAGAAAGATTTCTCTATAGATCTTAAAGGAAGCATGGCCTTGCTGACACCTTGATTTCAGACTTCTAACATCCAGGACTATGAGACAATAAATTTCTGTTGTTCTGAACCATCCAGATTGTATTACTTTGTTACAGCTGACCTAGGAAATTAAAATTAATACAGCTTCCAATTAGGTACGGGGGGTAAAAGAAGAATAAGATAAAACTTCATAATCCAACAGAAGGTTGGAATTTTTTTAATAGTAAAAGGAAAAAAAGTAAGAAAGATTTCATATAACAAATACAAAATAATATGGCAGAAATAAATTCAATGTATCAGTAATTCAGAAACTATGGACACATTACATTCACTTGGAATGCAAAATGTTGAATGGCTTTACAAATCTGATTCATTGCTATGTAATTCCTAGTGACACTTCCAGAATAACAGAACAAAATGATAGAAAATATATAAAAAATACAGAAGATGAAAAGACACACCAAACAACTTTAAAAAAAAAAAAAAGGCTGAGATGGTAATACTGATATCAGAGGCAAAAGGCAACAATTCATAGTGACAATGCACCAAGAAGATGTCCCTAAACACAGCCTACAAAAATTTAGAGGAAAAACTGACAACTCTGAGGAGAAATGGAAAATCCCACAGTGGAAAGTCAGTAGGGCTACAGATGATGTGAACATGACCAGCAAGATGAATCTAAAAATATGCTTAAAATTGTACTCCCTATGAACAGAATTCACATTCTTTTCTCTTTTTTTAAGTACATGGAGTATTCATAAAATGAACCATGTACTAGGTTTTCAAGAAGTCCCAATAAATTTCAAAGAATCAGGGTTACTACAGACAACACTCCTTGACCAAAATACAATATTTTTTATCGCTGAATTCAACTTAACTTTGACAGAAATGCGAATTAAACTAAAATGAAATTGGATTTTTCAATTATATTGCAAATACAAAAGAACAGTAACACCCCGTGTTGGCAAAGATAGGAGAAAATGGGATGCTTGGCCATGGCAGAGTGTATATGGACAGTATTTGGCAGTATCTATCAAAATTTAAAATATACATTTCCCCCTTTGCTTCCAATCCATTTCCAGGAATTTTTCTTATAGATACACTTAACAAATGTATGAGGATTGTCATCACAATATTGATTGTTATAACAAAAGATATAAAAACCTTAATGTCTATCAAAGTGGGAATGACCTAATTGCAGTTTTCTCTTATAGTTAAATATTAATAAGAATTAGGCAGCTCCATGCTCACTAATTGGAAGAACTCCAAGACCCGCAAGGTGCAAAGCAACATATATAGTCACAATCTTAATATTTATAAGGAGAGAAGTATTTACATTCTAAGAACATAACCAAGAACCTGCTAACATTAGGTGCTTCTGAAAAGAAGTACAGGGAGACAGGATAGACCTGCTTTCACTAAATACTTTTTTGTAGTATTTGCATTTTTACCATGTTTATGAATTACTATTTAAATAATAAATAGGCAGAAGTCTCTAGTCATTTCATTTATTCATTTAAAATGAAACATCTAAATAAAATGAAGTCTCTGGTGATAAGCCTAATAAACTTATTGCAGATATTCCAAATTCCTTTGCACAGTCCTTTTAAATTCGCTTATTGATGAACTGTCAGGGCTAACTTGTCTGCAATGAAACCAGCAAACACGTTTAACAAGGCTTTCAAGAAGGTCATTACCTGATTGGTACATGCAAACGTACCCAGTAAAAACTGCAGGGCAAGAACAGTGCAGACAAATGGAAGACTTTCCTAGCAAGGCAATGTGATGAACCCTGGCTACCTCCCTGATTTCTCTCCCAGCTGTACTCCATGTGGATGCACCAAGTACAATTGTGGCTCTGCCTCAGGACCTTTGCATGCATCATTCCTATTTCCTGGAATGCTCTGCCCCGGACAGTCACATGGCTTACTCCCTGGATTCACTCAGCTCTCTGCCCAAATGTCACTTAGTCACAAAAGCTTGCCCTGACCAGTTTATCTAAAAAAAATTCTACCCTGTCGATCTCTATTCCTTTACCTGGTTTTAGTGCTTTTTTCATCACTTAGCACCACCTGATGATTTTTCTTGGCCTCTCACATTAGAAGGTAAGCTCCATGAGGACAGGGACTTTTTTACTGTTATCTGTCAGTACCTATAGCACCCAGTAGGCACCAAATAAATATGTGTCTCTATCATAAAATTTGCAGATAGGAAATCTAAACATTGTTTTCTTTATGTTTTGGCCAAACCCCTTCTAAAGTGTTTGTTTATTTTTGCAAACTGCAGCTTCCTCTCTCCTTTTATGCCTAACTAACGATCAAAGATAGGACAAATGGAAAAAAGTTTTCTCTGGAGAAAGAAAATTCAAGGATGGAGAGGAAGAATTTACACCATGATGCTGGATTTTGTGGAAATTCACTAGGCATTTATTTCCTTGGTCACCCAATCATAAAAGTGAAGGAAAAAATCTTCTTTCAGCCAGTGTGGGGAATACAACAACAATGCTACAAGTACTGGCATTCTAAATGCAAGGATGAGCTTAAAGAAATTATTTGAATCTAAGAGTGTGGGAGGGACATTGGCTCTCATGGTCCAGCAGATGTGAGTCAGATCTAGCTAACTCCCCGAGGATCAAGGACTCAGCTGCCATGCCCTGAACAGACACCCCCGATTCCTACAAGTTCAACTCTCTATGAGACTTCTCCCATTTACCTTCTCTGGACCTCACTTAGCGCTAACCTATGTGAGGGAATCACTGGGACAGAAGGAAGCCTTCTCGCCCTGCCACTTCCCAGCAGCCCTGCCCTGAAAGAACTCCCCACACTTTGGTTCTTTAAGGGAGCCCCACATCATGCAAAGCACTGAGCCACAAGCTCGCTCATTGCCTTGGCATCACTGACTGAGAAAAGATGGTGGTAGGTGTAGGCTACAAGCCAAACACTCAGGGTCCCCAGCCTTTTCCCACCACAGCCTGTCACCC